TTATTATTGCGGAAGAGAAGGGGTAGAAAAGTTAGGTAAAAATCGGCTTTTTTAATAAGAGGGGTAAAAGGAAGCTATAAGGGATATAAGAAAGGTGCCTTTTATAGCAGCCGGAAGGTATAGGAATTCTATTCCTCCTAGGCTTATAACTCTTACGTAGAGAGATATAAAAAGTATATAAAAATATATAAAGGTAAAATTAAAAGTAAGGGGTCGGATAGGTAGGGCAGAGAGATTTAATTCTTATAGGAGCAGTAATTATAGTAGGGGAGTGATTATTATATTGCCTTAATTATCCTTCTTTCCTCTATCTAACGCCCCTCTTTATACCTATCTAGCATCTTAATTAATAAAGAAGATCTTACTTAAAGAAGCTATTAATATCCTTTCGACTACCGATCTTTTTACTGGTTTTTCCCCTCTTTTCTAGCCGTTGCCGGTATATCCGTCTTATCTTTCGCTACCTCTATAGGAAGCTATCGCTACTTCTGCTTCCCTATATACCCCTACCCTCCTTTCTGCACCTCCTTTTAGCTCCTTCCTTAAAACCTATTTTTTAGCTTCCTAGGTCCCTTATACTAAGGGATATCTCTAAGAACTACGAAATTAGGCCACGCTTCGCGATAACTAATACTTATATAGCCGATATTATATACTTTAATATACCCGTTAGCAGGGCCTCTAATCGCTAACTAAGGGGCCCCTTTCCCTTAGTTAGGCCTAAAATTCCTAGCTAGCCCTAAAACTCCTAAACGCGCGCCTAGTAAGTAAATCCGGGCAAATAGCCGCTATAGCGTCCTATAAATATCTAAATAAATATTCTAGATATATAAATTATAGACCTAATCGCCTTTATTTATTAAGGCTATTAACGATATAGAAAATATATATTATATAGCGTTGCGCGGTATTAAGGCGCGCACGTATTAATATTAAAGTATATAGCATATATTCGGCTCTTCTTAATTTATATACCTTCTTAATCTTAATTCGGGGCCTAAGAAGCTCGGAAGTATTATACGATCTCTTAAAGCTTCTTCTACCCTAGAATAAGTAGTATTAGGATAACTAGCGGCGGCGATAGCGGCGTAGCTCCCGGCGGCGGCGATAACCTTAATATACTATTAACCTTATTAAAGAGGCAGTATATAGTATAGAATTAAGTAGGGCTTCTTATATATTCTCGTTAAGCGTAGGCTCGTTTAATTTACTTGTTTTATAGGGCTTAGGTTAAGGCTTCTTTTCTAATAATATAATAATCTTAATAGACTGCTCTTTTTAAAGGTAAGGCTATTAAATTAACTATAGAGGCCGCGCTAAAGCGTAAGCTTTATTAACGGCTTCTTTCTTAGTAGCTATACGCTACGTGCGTATTATATCGATCGTAAACTAGTCTCGTAGTCTAAGGAGTCTATTATATACTACTTCGCTACTCTTTAGGGCAAGGAATCTCTTACTCTTCCCGACGAAGTTAAGCTATTATTTAATAGTTAGTCTCTTTATCTTTCCGTTTACGAGCTATACCTTATTTTTACGGTATTCGTTAAGGAGCTACTATCGCTCGCGCTATATAATGCTATGTATTAGGAGGAGCTATTAATATTAATTTTTCTCTTCTTTAAGCTAAAGCGTATATTTATAAGATTTACGGATATCTTCTAGGCTAACGCTAGTATAGAAAGTGCCCTCGGTAGCCTTAATATCCTTACCGCGCCTCGGGCGGCTGCTTATCTTCTCGATATATTATAGGCGGTCTTTATAGTACTTAGCTAGTATATAGCTAAGAAGAGATACCTTTATAATAGTCTAGGAGACGTTAGAAAGCCTACTACGCGTTAGAGAGCTTATAATCTCGACGCGTTCGAAGGTCTTATATAGTATCGGCAGCTTATTAAAAGCGTGTTTCCTTAGGAAGGAGCGATGCGAACGCTAGGTTAACAGCCTATAATGCCTTTAGCTGCTCGGCTACGAGCTTCTTACTCTATAGGAGGGTAGATATTTATTTTTTTAAAGCCCCCTATAATATAATACGCTACGAAGCCCTCTTTAAACCCTTCTTAGAAAGACTTAAGGAAATCGTGCCTTATAAAGTTTAGCCCCCTTAACTCGATAAATTTATATACGATTTTCTACTATACGTGCTTAAGAGGCTAGAAAACGCCTATATCGAGTAGATAAAGGATATACGTTAAACGTAAAGGGAATACCGCAACGATAATATTAAATTTAATATAATATTAGATAAAATTAAGGCCTATATACCTAGTAAAGCTATTAATAATAAAAAGATAATAAATTCACTTATTTTCTAGTATAAGGCGTAGCTCTGCTTTTAAAGGGATATTCGGGCTTTCTATACTACTTATTTATACTAAACTACTCCTTAAGGGTCTTTCCGGTATATTAGGTATAGGTAGACCGCTTCTAAGATAATATATTAAACTAGTAAATCTAATTAAACGTTATTTTACTATTACTAAAGCTTATATCGGATTATATAAATTATATATTATCGGGGGCGTTAATCTCGGCCTAAGACTTATAAGGGAAGGTCTTAAATACTAGCTAAGGCGGGATTATATCCCTAACCGCGTTAGTAGCGGTAATAAGCGTATAAGACTTACGATTCTCTAAGCTAGAGACTTAAGGGCGTAAATAACGCGTTATATATACTATAATAACGTAAATATATTCTTATAGACTTTTAATATAGATACTATAATCGTCTTTATTTTAGACCTTTAAGGGGCCGATTCCGAATAAGCTAATAATCTCCTTAAGCTTTAAGAAGAACTTCTTAACGTATAATATATCGTTAGCTTTAAATACCTTCCTAGACTTCTCTACGGCCTTTAAATATATAGTTCGAAGCTCTAGGTAGTCCTAAAGCTAATAACGATACTAGTTTCTGCTTAGTAGCTTCGCGTTAGGGTTATAGCGCTAAAGGAGCGTTAAAGCGGCCGATTCGACCTATATCTTACTCGCTAGGAAGCTAGAGCGTTATAGCTATATTATATAGGCGGTAATAGCATTGTCTTCGTTATCTAAGAGCAGCCTTAGCCGGCTACAGCTTCGAACGCGACCCTAAAGCTATCGTAGATGCCGCTTAACGCCGTCTTATACCATAGAGCTCGGTATACCGAAGATCTAAGCCGCCTACCGTATTATAACTGCTGTAGGGAGCGCGCGGCGCGTCTAACGGCGCCGCCCTTATATAAGGGCATCGCGAGAGTCTATAACTAGCTCTATAGCCCTTAACGTGGCCGTCGGCTTAAGCCCGACGGATATATTAAGACATTGAAATACGTGCTACGCATCACGCGTTCTTATATTTTAGTGGGAATGCGCACTAATTACGAAGCAGCTACGATAGCGGGGCTGTAAGCGCGCGTCCGGGAGTTTTAGGGCTGTCCGGGAATTTTACGCCCAACTAAGGGGAAGGGGCCCCTTGGTTGGCTGCTAGAGGCCCCGCCAACGGGTACCCGTGCCACGCTACACTTATTTTCACGTTCGTTCCTTACCAGCTCTATAAGCTGGTGCTAGACACCGTAGTAGCCGGTACACCGTAATAGCTAGATTTTTCACCGTCTGCCTTTAATCTGCTTTATTCTACCCTCGTTACTTTATTTTATATTAAGCAATATAGAAGCGCGTATTCTAGAAGCGATATAATATATAGGCAATATCCTTAATATAAAAGTTGCTAATATAGCCTAATAATTTGGTATTCTACGCTATCGATTACGTTACCGCCTCGAAGGCCGTCCTCCTAAGGTAGGCCGACTAGCTACGAATATAAAGTTATCGAGCCTAGAAGAGGCAGTATTATATCGCTATATCGATCGCCTTAATAACATTAACCTTACGGTGCGCCCTAAGTTTATTACCGATACGGTAAATAATATTTTACGTAAGCGATCCGGTTAAGCTAATTTAGTTATCGGTAGTAAGTAAACCTCTTACTTTCTAAAGCGTTACGGTTACTTTAAGAAGCTCTAAAAATACTTTACTTAGGAGCGCTAGGTATCGGAGGACCTTATAAGAGTTACCTATTATTTCTAAAATCTCTAGTAAGTTATCTAAGAGAAGGTTATACTACCTAAGGATATCTAGAATATAGATAAGATAGGATTACGTATTAAAGTTAGTAAGGATTAGCTAATTATTACTAAAAGAAAGCGAGCTTATTATTTTAGTATCCCTAAGAATAGAGAATCTACCGCTAATATCGAGGCAATCTTAGTAAGCGGAGAGTCTATTCTATATTTCTTAATTCTATCTAGATAGATATATATAACTTTATGGTATCAAATACCGGGACTAGACCCCGACACGGCCATCCGACCTACGTTAAGCGGTTACCTACTTAAACGACGAAATCAGCTTAGAATGGCTTCATTATTTTAACAAACATTCGACAAAGACCTCGAGAAGCTCGAAGCGTTTATTAATTCTCGATTGCCACGGCTCCCACCACAAGAGGCAGTTTATTCAGTATTGCGACCAACATGACATCATTTTCGGACGTCACTGAACTGTGCAGCTGCGAACGGTCACGAGGATGTCGTCCATCTAATCCCTGAAGAAGGCGACTACTTCGACTTCAAGGGATTCCATATCATATAGAGAACTCATGTAAAGTTATGGGCGAGTCGAACAATCCGAATGAGCGCAAGTCCAACGTGGCGAAGGGGTTATACCAGAGGACCTTCGTCAGACATTCAGCCATTTATGCGGTACACATGTGGAAATTCCTACCGTCGCCTTCCAAACATTTACTTTCGAAATCATGCGGTGATTTTTCAGGAAGATTCAACAAAATTGAGGGAGAGCATACATGTTTGCGCAGGAGTGCTCGTCGAAACTAACACACAGGATCTCCAGGCGATTGCACGATTCCAGGGACAGCTTGGATACCCAGACACACTTGGAGGGTTTTTAAGGTGCCGTGTCTCACCCCTCACCACCACTACCTGGAAATCTGTCATCTCACCCACAAATCAACGTGTGTGCTCGGTCCACTGGCCATTTGCAAAATACCGCTCAGCCTTTCCGGAATACGCCGCCTGTGGGTCGGGATACCATCCATCTGGGACGCCAGCCGCCGCCTCTGCCTCTCTCTGAAGGCGACGCCTTTTAGGGCAGCCAGTAGGTGGCCCATTGGTTGCAACTAATGTCTCATACGAGTAGCCCGGACCTCTAGCTTGCCGGTTGGTTACATATCGCGACGAATGTCCCGTCGCGCTTCGGTGTTCAATCTTGATGAGGTGCTCGTGGGTTACCTCACTTCTGTTATTCGTGCCAAGCAGCCGGACCTTAAAATGGGGCTTCGCCGATCTTCCGCCCGATGCCGTCTTTGGAGTGCTCCTATTGAAATGTATCAGGCTGATTGCCGAGACGTCTTGACCTGGCTAACGAATCTCCTAAAGCGCATACATACAAGATGGCGACTTCATAGTATTCACCTTCTTCGGCGATTTGGCGGGCCAGCCGCTCCATGGCGGTTGCGAGGCCACCGTTCGGCGTGCTGCATGCCCATTCAACATGTACAGACATTGTGAAGGCGCAAGCTGTGAGGGTTTTTCAAAGGAAAGCGAAGGTGGTTGGAGTGCCGAATAGGCAACAGGCACGCAATCGACGGCGTAAAAGACGATGGCGCACGTAAGAAACATGCGGGCAAACGTGCGATTGGAGATTTATGGTCGTACGAGTAGCAATATATAGTTATATTATATCGTCTACACCTGGCGTGGTCTACGAACGCTGTTTCTATGCAGGCCGTGGCTAACATGCGGAAGTACTTATAGAATCCTCTTAGGCACCTAGAGCCCTGTAGCTGGTCCCCATAGCGGGAGCTGGCAGGATCCAATCAATTAAATGCCCGCATCCGTGAGAAAAATGGGGAAGTCATGCCATTAGGCTTTTGTGGTTGCGCCATTAACAATACCCATAAATAGACCGGAAGCTGAGCGTGAGTGTCTCTCGGTGGGTCGAACAAGGGTGCATGTTGCCGCGCGGGCAAGTCGTGGGTCATCCAGTGCAGCCAGCCGCGTGTCGATTGGCTAGTGGCGCGAAAAGTCGATGCGAACACGGGTTCAGCGTAGGCGCCCACACCGAAAATAGCCTGTACTGTGGTCAGGTGCAAAATTGCGGCCTCGGCCCCACAACTTCAATGAGTCATCTGCTCTAAAATATCTCTTGCCCCTCATCCGTTCCTTCTGAATCTTTACAACTTTTGTATGATCGTCTCCCCTCTCTCCATATTCATTACGCTTGAGAGTCCAGCTTTTTTTTACTCCGACATCTTTGAACATGTCGTACCTTGAGGAAGACAATGTTACACGCTTCCTTCTCCCCCAGGGCGTCGGCAACACGGAAGACATAGAGAGATACCAGCCCGGGGGTTTTCATCCTGTTCACCTAGGTGACAGATATGATGACGGACGCTATAGAGTTGTACACAAGCTCGGCGCCGGTGGGTTTTCCACTGTTTGGCTTGCGCGAGACGAGAATGAGGAAAAGTGGGTGGCTCTGAAAATCGTTGATGCTGAGCATTCCGCTTCGACTGCTACAAAGAGTGTCATCAGTCGCTCAGCCTTGCGGGACAGCGGAGCACAGTTTGTGGCGGAGCATCACCGACACTTTTCCTTCGACGGACCAAACGGGCGCCATTTATGCCTCGTTCTGCCCGTCCTCGGCCCGTCGATGTCCGAGCTATCGCATGGCCTCACTTGCCGACTCACAGCGCGGCTCGCTCGCAGAGTGGCTTATCAGGCCACGAAAGCGGTCGCAGACCTCCACTCACGAGGCCTATGTCATGGAGGTAAGTTGGTTCGTGCTCGCTTTGGGTTTGGCATAACAGCTAATAGAACGCTAGATGTAACCACAGGCAACCTTCTCCTGAGCATTTTAGACATCGACCACTATGAGGAAGGCGACATCTACCGCCTGTTCGGCCAACCGACGACGAGTGTGCTGGAGACAGAGTCTGGCATAACACCCGGTCCTGAAGCGCCACGATATATAGTGAAGAGCATTGACTTTCTGTCTACTCCATCAAATATCATCCGTCCTGACGTCAACCTCGTTGACTTCGACCAATGCTACCCTACCTCTTCGCCGCCACAGAAAATGCTAGGTACCCCCATCGATTTTCTAGCGCCTGAAGTTGCAGTAGGCCTGGCAGCTGGTCCTGCGAGCGATGTTTGGGCTCTCGGTTGCTGCATATTTCGACTTAGGTCTGGAGAAGGCCCTTTTTCGAACCCCTTTGACGTCACTTCTCCGGCGGATCTGCTAAGCTACATCATCCATACTCTGGGGGAAGATATGCCGCGTAAGTGGCAGGATAGTACCCTGTGGGACCCCGAGGGGCATCCGACAAAGGATGCTGACAAAGGAAAACCACATGAGCAGTGGTGGGATGGTGACGAAAGGTCCTTGCGAGATATGGTTTATAACATATGGGATGAACCAAAGACCCGTGTCGTCCAGACCGGCAACCTGAAGTCGAGGCGGAGGTTTTGGCGTGAGCATGAGCACCAACCTTTTCCCCGGTGCTTCTCGGATATGGTGTGGAACCCAAGAGCCATAAAGGTAGACAATGTCTATCTGTCCGGCTATAATGACGAGTGGGACATGCTGCTTGAGGCTCTGCCCAAGATACCAAAGCAGGAAGCTGCCTTGCTCTACGACCTCTTATCAAAGATCTTTGTCTATGATACGACAAGGCGTCCAACAGCTAGGGAGATGCTTAATCACCCTTGGTTTCATCTCGATGAGCTCAGGTATTGACAAAAAATTGGCTGTAGTTCTTTTCACAAATAAGAACACATTGCGAATGTCCATCTGGACTCAATCAAGACCCCCACGCAACTGGTCTTGACGTGATAGCTTGGGAGATGTTACGCCATGCAGAGTTGGAACGCGCTCCGACAGGCGGTGCGCAATTGGCAGTCATAGTGGTTGGATTGTAGGTGTGACATACCCCCCCAGCTTGTGTGGACCGGGCGCTCTGCACGCGGCCGGGGAGCCAATACAGACACGGAGGTCCGTGCCTCGAAAGGGGCACGGCTCCATGCCTCCATTATGTAGGGACGTGTTTTTGGCACCGACGGCTGATACGTTGGTGCCCGGGCGCGTTTTGTCTCTAGACCACATCCCACTCGAGATGGGGAACAGGGCCAGAGTCGCCTGAGTCGCCTGACGACGGCAAAGGAGTACCGGTAGAAGAAGGCTCAAGAGATTTGCTTATTGCGTATAGGAATGCTTAGATCAACAAAGGCGTTGTAGAAGATTCGATAAGTTTAAATGGAACTAACGCGAGAGAATGAACTTTGTTGTGAAGCGCGTCGACTCTTCCAACGGAACAGGGGGCCCTGTGGATGGACGGATGGATGGCTGTTCCGCCCGGGGCTTACCTATAAGTCAGCACACCTAGCTTCCGGCACCCCCCACTTCCGGCACCCTTCGCAGCACCAAGGCAGGCACATTCTAAACGCAATTGAAGCCGCATTTTAATATCACGATAATTAAATTTAGTGTTTCTAGCTACTTTAGCTGCCAGCTATTGCAAAGAGCTTTAAATCCTACGTTCTAATTAGCTGTGGCGGCGGCAGCCAGCTTAAGCGTGCGCTCGAGCTATTTCTTCGTCTTTATAACTTATTTAATCTATACGAACCGCCTATTAGGGTCCTAAGGGACCTTTTTCTATTTTTAAGGCTATAGACGATATAATTAATGCTCTAGCTACTATATTCGAAGCTAGGAGGCTATAAGCTACTAATTTTACTTATTAAAGCTGCGGCTAACCTTACTAAAGAGTAGTATAAAGGAACACGTATCACGGTACGATTAGTTAGGTAGTAGGGATAGCTAGAGGTACTGCGCTATATATATTATATTCTCCTTATCGTAAGACTAAAGCTTACGGGAAGAGGGATTTTTCTTCTTTAGTTATAGTAGCGAGAGGTCTATAATATATAAGCGGGGTAGGTATAATTCCCTACTAATACCCTACCGATATATTAGTACTATATATCCGAGTACTTTATTAGCCTATACCTCCTAGTAGCGCTCTTATAATTATCTCCCCTCCTATATAGACGTCTTAGCTATATCTTTAATATATATTGCTTTTATTATACTATATATATTTAGTTAAGAAGAGAGGTAGTTTTAGTTATATATCGCGCGTATACGCCTATATAAGTATACGTTAGTCTACGCTCTATAACGTTAATAGTTATTATACTAGCGGTTACCGCTAAGTAACCGTTACGGTATCGCCTATATATTAGCCGCGTAACTATAATATTAAGAGCGTGCGTATATATCTCTTACTTTTTTTATTTTCTTTTCTTCTTTAACTCTTTTACTTACGATTACTATAGAGTTTTACGCCTTGTTTTATTAATCCCTTATACCTGTTTATATTACTTTTTATCGACGATTTATTAATAAAAATACCTTTTACGCTAAAGAAGATAAAGAACTATAATACCGATTTCCTACGCTATATATAAGAGTAGGTAGCGGCGGGTTCGCCCTTAAAGCGTAAGCGATCGGCCTAAAAGTCTCGTAGTAACGCTAGTTCCCCCTTAGCGAAGAAAGCTAAGAAAGGTATAGGGGAATCCTAGTCCTAGGAGACTTTTAGTCTAGGACCTAACGTTAGCGAGGGTTATACCCTTATTACCCCGCTAAATACCCTAGCTCTAGCTATCGATAAGCCTACCTCTATAGGCTAGGAAACTTATAAGTCTATTACCCCTATTAGCGATACTAATACTAGTAAGGAGATTATACCTAGGCGCTCTTAGGTAAGTGCCGATAACCTAGCTACTCTATCTTAATAGGGCGGCTCTAGCTAATAGGAGATCGTTGCCTAGGCCGCTCCTTAGAATAAGTAGGCCGATATTAACGACGAGGCCTAGCTAAATAAGGGCTAAGACTATCTTAATACCTAGCCGAATAAGGGCTAAGATAACGATAACGGTAATAATAGAGACGGCCGCGATCTAACTCCTCCTACCGATAAACCTAAGAACGGCGGCGCTAGAGATAAGGGCACCTAGGCGGCGGTATAAAGCGGGCGCGCTCCTACGAAGAAGCGTACCCGATCTAAGGCTAAAGCCCGCCCGGTTAAGGCCTATAAGGTTATCCCTCGTAAGCTTTAGTATATATATTATTTTAAGACGGTCGTTAAGGAGTATAATATAACTAAGCCTAAGCCTATTAAGGTGCTCTCGATTAGCTATATTTTTTCGGGGGTTTCTTTAATACGCTATAAGTAGTGCTATAGATATACCGCGACCTATAACTAGGTAAGTTTCCCCTTAACTTTAAATATTACGATTAATAAGCTAATCTTTCTTAAGGCCGCTACTCTTATATTTAGTAACTAGGCTAATATAGTCGCTATCGTTAAGTACCTACGCGAGCTTAATAAGCTAAAGACTAGTTATAAGGATACTAAGGATAATAGCTTAAACGTAAGCGTGCTTATTTTTAAGGAGGCTAATTAGCGCTATCTCGCTATTATAGTATAGTATTTAGCTAAGGCTTTCGACGCCGCTAAGATAGCCTATTATAAGTCCTTTAAGACTATAGGTATATAGAAGTCTACTATTATAAGTTTTATCTAACCTTTTTATTAGCGACCGCTTAATAATATACTAGGTTAAGCGTACCGACTACTATATACTAATTAATAAGCGCTATAAGCTTATTATTTACCTTAACCCTATGCTTTTATTTAATATCGCCCGTATAAGCCTAGAGTACTAGGCCTAGGAATCCTAGTTAAAACTCCGCCTTATCGATAGTAATATAAGCTATACTTTATAGTAATACGCCTTACTATTTACTAAGGCTAAGGTAAGTACTATATTAATAGAGATAGGTCTTAACGTAGAGGATAAAGAAGGAGTAAAGGATAGGGTAGTTTTAGTATTTCTAAAGGTATTTAGTATAATAGAGGGGGCGCCTCGGTTAGTTCCTACTATACTAGTAAAGAAGAGGGGTAGTTAAAAGTAATAGATAGGTTTTATCTTTCTTTTATTTAGCTATAACTATCCTTTTCTCTTTTATTATTAAGGCCTTAGTAGAGTTATAGTTTAGTTTTATTTTCCTTAATAATATTTAATAGGTAGTATAAATAGTTTTCCTTTATTCTTCTATTTTACTATTTTATATATAGTTATAAGACGTTTAAGCGTGTTAATATATTAATAAGTTAGTAGCGATTTAGTAGGGACTTATTACTAATTTAGTAGCGTCTCCTTATATTAATAGGTTTCCCTACCTTACTTAGTCTTATACCTCTTTTTCCCGGTTAAGCGAGTAGTATATTCTTTAATAAGGTCTTAGCTATTCGCTATATCTTTAGCATCGACCTATTAGTTATACTTAGCTAGCTATCCTTTCTATTTAATAAGGAAAAAGGTATCGCCCTTAGATCTCTTTTAGTCTTTAATCTCTTAGACTTCCTATTTACCTTCGTTATCCTTTAAGTCTAGTATTAATAGGGTTTCGCTATCTTTATAAGTGCCTTTACGCTCCTTTTATAGCTTTAAGAGACTAATATAAAAAACGTTATAAAAGCGTAAGTACTTCTTAGGGAGTATAAGACGATATACTTACTTTTTAATAGCTTATAGGACCCGAAACGGTCTAATATACTTAGGTAAGAGTTTTCTTTTTTCGTCCTTAAAGCGTAAGTTCTTTATCGATAATACTATAAGGTCTCTTACTTTTAGTATAAGCGGTTAGTACCTTAAATTATAGTATTTCGCTTACGATTTAATAGCCTTTCCTTAGTATTTCTTAAGCCTCTTTTATAGCTTTTATAGCCTAGTAACTCTTACTCTTACTTTAGGTACCCCCCTTTAAATAATATCGTCCTTAGTATTAATATAGAAGTTTAGTTAGTAACCTATTAACGCTTTATTAGGTAATAACCTAGTTATCGCGTTCTTTATATTATTATATATAAATTAAGTAATATATAAGAGTAACGCTTAGTTAGTTTATTCCGAGTTAGTAAAGTATCTTAAGTAGTACTATATAGCTTAGTTTATTTATTCTATTTACCTATTAGTTTATAGGTAAAATACTATCGATAGCCTACGTTTTACTTATAAGATAAAATAGAGATCTAACTAGAACTTACTTATAAATAAGGACCTTTTATTTAAGATAATGCCTTTTAAAGGTCTATATACTAATTTAACTTAGTAATAGAATAATTTTACTAGCTTTAAGGCTATTATTATCTTAGAGATAGGAAAGAAGAGGCAATACTTAGTATATTAGTCTACGATTACTAAGATCGTATTAACGTCTTATCTATTATACTATACTTTAGGTAGACCTATAGTAAAGTCTATTAATAATTCTTCTTATAGTTATATAGGATATAGTAACGATTATATAGTACTATAGGGGCGATGCCTCCTAGATACTATACCTTAATATACTAAGTATAACTAGACGTATTTATTTACGTTTTTTATTATTCTATCCTAGTAAAAGTTCTTTGCTAGTAGTTCGCTAGTATATTAAGAGCTAAAGTATCCTATTAACGGATTATTATAAAAGAGCTATATTAGCTCTTACCGTAAGGCTACCTCTAAAAGCACTATAATATAACCTTTCTATAGTAGTAGTCTATTTAAGCGTATTAACTAAAAACCCTTCCCTTTTAAGAAGTCTTTAGTCTCTTTTAGCTTACTAATCGCTATATTAACTAACTAAGTGCGTTTTAGTAACTCTAGTAACGGTTCTAGAACTTCTAT